GAAAGGAAAGGAAAGGAAAGGAAAGGAAAGGAAAGGAAAGGAAAAAGGAAAGGAAAGGAAAGGAAAGGAAAGGAAAGGAAAGGAAAGGAAAGGAAGACAGAAAGGGAGGAAGAAAAAGAGAAAGCCGGGGGTGGTGGCACATGCCTGTAATCCTGGCACTTGGGAGGCTGAGACAAGAGGATCATTGTGAGTTCAAGGCCAGCCTGGGCTACAAAGTGAGTTCAAGGCCAGCCTGAACTGCATAGTGAGACCCTGTCTCAAAAAACAAAAAAACAAGAAAGAAAATAAAGAAAGAAAGAAAGGAAGGAAGGAAGGAAGGAAGGAAGGAAGGAAGGAAGGAAGGAAGAAGGGCTGGGGTTGCTGCTCAGTGCGAAGGCCCTGGGTTCAACCCCAGTAGTTAAGGAGAGAGGGAATGAATGAGAGCTGAAAAGCTCCATCGCCTAGTGACATGGTTGTAATGTCACAACTCAATACACTCCACATCTGTTCATGATAATTCTGGTGTAGACAAACTTATGGCACTGCCAATCACACTGGAGTATTAAATGGGGGGGAGACAAGGGCAAGGGGGGATACGGGGGGGGCAGTAAAAGCAGCCTGAGTATATTATGTGCATGTACAAAACCACCCTAACGAAACTCATTAATCTGTATAATTAATATGTACTAATTAAAACAGGAAAAAAGTGTAACACACTGTTATGTGTAGTATAGAACAATGATAATAACCGCATTACTGGTTTATGCATTTATTATGCTACATGGCTTATCTTTTGGGGGAGGGACCCAGGGCCTCACGCATGCTAAGCACACACTCTTGCACTAAGCTACACCCCCAGCCTTCCAGCTTTTTTTTTCTTGTACTGAACCCAGGGCTTTCACACTGAGCTACAGCCGCCGCCTTTTCTTCTTTTTCTTTTTGAGATAAGGTCTTGCAAAGTCACTAAACTGCCCCCGCTGGGTTCGAACTTGTGGTTCTCCTGCCTCAGCCTCCCAGAGTGCTGGGATTATGAGTGTGCACCATCACGACCAGTGCTGACCAGTGACCATTATTTTAGTGGATTCCTTATATTGATTTTTTTTTTTTTTTTGAAAAGTCCACTGTCAAACTGTGTCATGTTAGGCCAACGGCAGCCTCATCCATCTCGTGTTCACCACCTCCCTTGACTGCATCCAGAGGCCATGACACATGACTGGCCCATACCATCTGGGTTGGTGCGAACACACTGTGACATTCTCCGACAGAACTGCTAACAACACGGGGCTCGGTGCATGGCCCGTCTGTTAAGTGGCATGTGGCTGAATGAGTAAAAGTGGTCCGGTGAGAGGTTTCCAAAGGCTTGCTGTGTTTGGCCTGGCCTCCTCCACTCCTGCCATCCGCCCCGAGAACATGGCCCCTGGTAGCTGCACTGCTTCAAGCTGAGACCTGGGAACAAGAGATGAACAAAGCTGACCAAAATCCAACACACAGCTCACAGTGAGAAAAGTTTGTGGGCAGTCACAGTGATCTGCGGGTCACTTGTTACACAGCTGGGTTGTACTGCAGAATAGTTTCTACACACACTCCAGTTATACATACAGCCCAGCTGTGTTAACATATAGAGCTGCTAGCAGCCTGTTTCTATGGAAGCCTTTGCTTCCCACCAGTATGTGTCAGAGACCTTGTAAATCTACTCCCAGGTGAGTACACCAAGGCTCAAGGGCCATGTGGATGTCTTTGACCACCAGCGGGTGATTCCACACAAGTATGCTTGCCTCAGTTCAGTGGCAGGTCTGGTTTATTCTTTGTCTCCAACAATGAGTTATTTGCCAAGTACCTATTGCGTACCACACACTGTATGTTAAGTACCCAGATCTCACAATCAGGAGAGTTACAAATACACAACGAGAACAGATAACATTTTGAAATTCAAATGAAGCCAAAAGTGGTGACATACCTGTAATCCTAGCACTCAGGGAGACTGAGCGAGGAGGACTGAAAATCTGACCCCAGCCTGGGCAGTTTAGCCAGATTCTGCCTCAAAATTAAAAATAAAAATAAAAGGCTGAGAGTGTAGCTCAGTAGTAGAACAACCCTAGATTCAATCTCCAGTTTCATAAAAAGGAAAAAAAATTGTAAGTGAACGTTACAAAGAGTGTTAGTGGCACATGCCTGTAATCCCAGCACTTAGGAGGCTGAGGCAGGAGGATTGCTGTGAATTCAAGGCCAGCCTGGGCTACCTAGTGAGTTCAAGGCCAGCCTGTACTACATCATGAGACCCTGTCTCAAAAACAAACAAACAAACAGAGTGCTGGAAATTCAAGAGAGAAAGAAAAACCACTTTGAGGACTGGAGGGCAAGAGAGGCAGCGGGAAGCAAAGGAAGACACTGAGATGACTCTGAAAGACAAAGTTCATGACAGCTGCATGCTGGCCACAGTGTTCCAGGCAGCAAACCCAAGTGTGATCGCAACAAGGGGCAATGCGCAGAGCAGTTCGGCTAGGGGAACAGCAAAGGAGCCAGCTCACGGATGCGTTCAGTGTCAAAAGAGTCTGCTCTACAGGCAGGAAGACCCAGAAGCAATGTTTAAGCATAACAAAGAAATCTACCTAAACATTGTATTGATCCAAGGGTAAAGTGTAAAATTCTTTTTCTTTCTTTCTTTCTTTCTTTCTTTCTTTCTTTCTTTCTTTTTTTTGTCCTTTCCTTTCCTTTCTCTCTTTCTTTGAGACAGGGTCTTGCTATGCAGTTCAAGCTGGCCTTGAGCTCATTTTGTAGCCCAAGCTGATCTCGAACTCACAATGATCCTCCTGCCTCAGCCTCCCGAGTGCTGGGATTACAGGCATGTGCCACCATGCCTGGCTTTGTAAAATTCATTCTTTCTTTCTTTCTTTCTTTCTTTCTTTCTTTCTTTTTCTTTCTTTCTTTCTTTCTTTCTTTCTTTCTTTCTTTTTCTTTCTTTCTTTCTTTCTTTCTTTTCTTTTCTTTCTTTCCTTCTTCCTTCCTTCCTTCCTTCCTTCCTCCCTCCCTCCCTCCCTCCCTCCCTCCCTTCCTTCCTTCCTTCTTTTTTTGTCAGTATTAGGGACTGAACCCAGGGCTTCTACACTGAGCTTCACCCAGCCTTTCTTTAGTTTTTATCTTGAGACACGGTCTCACTAAGTCACTAAGTTGCCCAGGCTGGGGTAGAATTTGGGATTCTATCTCAGCCTCCTGAATAGCTGAAATTACAGGGATGGACCACTGCACCCTGCAAGTGTAAAATTTTGAAGGTAGAGCGGACTTGGAAGTCAGGAGGCTAGAAGGGAGTCTGAGAGGATGAGGCACAGGGTCAAGTCAATGGAACACAGAAAGTTACACTTAAAAATTCAGCATATGAGAGAGTTTTAAAAAATCTTCTAAAACATGTACTCACAAACATTCATTCTACAAATGAGGAAACAGAGGCCCAGAGAGGTGAATTCACATTCCTAGAACCACACAGCAAGTTAGAGGTGGGCTGGGAAAAAAGCACAAGTATATCAGGAAATACAAATCCCAACAAGTAGTGGCTGGGAGTAAAGAGGTTTCTTTTCCTCAGGTAACAAGAAGTCCAGAGTAACATACAAAATCCGGTGCTTGTGCTCAAATTATCAAGGGCCCCCTCCTCTTCTATGTTCCTGTTCTCTCATCTGCAGCACATGGTATTCATCCTCATGGTCCTAAGAGTGATGCTGCACCCCCAGGCATAGCATCCATGTTTCAGGCAGGAGGGAAATAGGATTCAAAGTCTTCTCCATTCAAAGTTTTACTTTAGTCACCTACTCACGTCTCCTAGACCTGCACTGAGTCACATGACTACCGCTAGGTCTAAAAGAATCTGGCAAGTGGAGAATCCGGCTTTCTAGCCCCATAACAGAGAATGAGGAGGCAGACCCAGAGAGTGCTGGGAATGGATGGGAACCGAGGAAGCGTCCTTGGAAAAAGGACAAGAAAACAAAACAGGAAACCAAAGAAGAGCAGTTCACCTGGGGAGGTCAGCTCAGCTTAGGAAAAGGTTTGGTAGCAAAGTGTGAAATCCTGGACAGGCCCCACCAGAAAGAAAGCAAACATTCTCCATTGGCACCAGTTGGAAAAGGATGGCCCGCATGAGGTGCTCACCCCTGCCTGGGTCCTTTGCAGAGGAAAACGGCGCCAAGCTCCTTCCCCCGTGCACTGCAGTGAGGAGAGATCTGGGCTTCCGCCCTGGCTCATACTGCCTGGATTTAATTTCTCCAAACCTATCGGGGGGGTAATGACGTCTACCCCTGAGATGGCAGATAAATCATGACTGCCATCTGCAAGTGACAGAAAACCCAGCTCAAAGTGATATAAGCAAAGCCAGGCATGGTGGTACATGCCTGTAATCCCAGCACTCAGAAGGCTGAGGCAGGAGGATCGCTGCAAATCCAAAGCCAGCCTGCGCTACATAATGAGACCCTGACTGACTCAAAGCGAAACCAAACCAAAGTGATGCAACCAAAGAAAGGGAATTAATTGATACATATAACTGAAACACCCTGGGACAGCACTAGCTTCAGGTTCAACTAGATCTAGGAGCTCAGAAAATGAAGACTGTCACTCAGCTTGGTTGGCTCCATTCTCAGGCTGGCAGATTTTACAGCCTTTTGCCAACCCCAGTACAAAATGTGATTCTCGTTGGGCGTGGTGGCACACGCCTGTAATCCTAGCACCTGGGAGGCTGAGTCAAGAGGATCACCTTGCGTTTAAGGCCAGCCTGGGCTGCATAAGCAAGTTCAAGGCCAGCCTGAGCTACACAGTGAAACCCCGCCTCTAAATAAATAAATAGAAAATATGATTCTCTTTTCTACTAAAAACAGCAAGCTCTAAAGTTTCTCTGAGACCTCAGGTCACACACTTACCTCTGAACCAAAGACTGTGGCCAGGTCAGGTGAGAAAGCACGTTCAAATGCTACATCCATTCCATTTCTGCAGCCCGGAGACAAAGTCAGTGCCCACCCGCTACACACACACAGCACAGAGACTAAGGGTCAGAGAGCAGCGGTTGCCCCAAACGAAGGATGGCTTCTGTGTCCAGAAGGGGACGCAGTGCTGGACAGGCAAAAGCGACACTGTTGATCACAGCAGCTCTAAGGAGATGCCAAAAGAGCCATAAACACTCAAGCCGCCCGGCTAATCAAAAGCTGTCTTTTGCAAGCATCCAGCTAGGTCCAGTCTTGGGGATTAGAACCCTGGCTACTTGCAGCCTTGTCAAAGAGAATGGCAGAGCTGAAAGACCCGTGGACATCACCCATCCCTCTGCTCACCAAGGTGCAGAGAGGGGAGGAGGTCTCCTTGGCCTCCGAGTGCGGGGCTCCATAGGCCATGACCTGGGGTTGGAGTCAGCCGACCAGCACCACTGCAGCCGAGTGCACACCCTCACTTCCGGCAGCAGCCTTCCTGGGACGGGTTTGTGGAGCACTAGACAGAACGCTGGAGAATGTTGCCGGAAATGGGAACAGATTCTGGTCAGCCAACTCTGAGAACTCAGTGCAGAATCTCCTTAGGGAAAGAAAATCCTCTTGAACTGAAGGGCGCCAAACTGCACCAGGGACTGGGGTGGCTGGAGCCCCTCCAAAATGGATCAATCAGGGACACAATGGTAGGGACAAAGCATTTTTCCGTGACAGGACGATCTTGGGTAAGGAAGGCAGGTCCAGACCTGCAGGATCCCTTCGGGGCATCACACAACATATGCCAATGGGAAAACGTTGGCTGAAAGGCCCCAGAGACACCCCACACTGTCTGTGGGACACCAGTAGCCCTGCCTTCCTCTCAGCCTGCCACCCTGACCTTCTGGACAATGAGCCGCTTCTTAGCCTAAGCTGAGCTCCCCAAGGAGGGCCCTGCATTTTCACCAAAAGGGAAAACATGGTCCCTCACCTGGTTTCTCTTTGATCTTTCCTTTCCTGGCTAGCAGCCAGCCCTGGCACTACTGCTTCGAAGAAACTTCCGAGGCGGGTCTGGTGAGTGCACCCATGTCACAGAGGCAGGTTTGCGGGGAGACCTGCGGCGCTGCTCCCCATCGCCACTGCCTTCTGCCTTCTTCGCTCCGTCTTCTTTCTCTTTGGTTTTTGTTGTGGTTGTTGTTTTACAGAACTCAAATGGGAACACTGAAAGCCTCGGCCCGAAGGAATTTGAAAGGATTATTGTGATTACTTAAGCAGGCTTTCTTCTGAAACTCTCAGCCAGTGGGAAGAGAATGAAACTTCTAAAAGTTATAACCCTGCAGCAACTGGCTAGATAAGCCGGGGCCTGAGCAAACAGACAAACCAGACCCTGGTTTCTCCTATTAACTCTTTCCCGGCCTATAAAACACATGCTGGAGGCCTTTGAGAGCCTCCAGGGACCCTGGGACGCTATCATTTACCAGGACAAGCCTTCACTCCTCAAATAAAAGTTCATGAACCCACTCTTTTCTTCATCTGCCTTTATTTCTCCTACAAAATGATACAGAGACAGTTCCATCCAACACAGGCTGTCTCATTCTTCCAGGCAGGAAACAGTCCCCTAGGGAGAAAAGTTGCCATTTCCCAGGGGCCATGGCTCCCAAGCAGCCAAGCCAGGAGCACCCAGCCTGGCCTTCTTCGCTTCTAAGCTGCTGCAGGACTGGCCAGAGACTATCCAAAAGGAGGCACTCGGTCACACTAGCAGTAGAACCAGATGGATGGCGTGGCCTGGTGGCCATTCTGCTCTGACCACCCAAGAGGGCATCCCACGCGTCACCTGGGTCTGAGGAGCACCACGAGGAAGCCTCAGGGCCCATACAGTCCCCGAGGACGTTGGATGGAGAACAGCAAGAGGCATGTCTCTCTATTTCCAGGGACAGCAGCCAAGACAGAGGTAGGGGGCTGCTGGCCTGTGGCCCGGCAGGCTACACCGGGGAAGGAGCCTTTGTGTCAGGGCACAATGGTGGACATTCTCTGCTTTCCATTTTCCCTAGAGTTTGCAAAAAAAAAAAAAAAAAAGGAAGAAACCCACAAAAAGAGGCCTGGCCTGTCTGGATCTGGGGGACCATGGCTGGCTCACAGGTCGGGTTTTATATAAATGAGGGCAGCCCCAACACCTGTGGCTTGGGCAAATGAAGGGAAATGGATACAAAATAATAACCTAGAAAACACAGGTGCTTTTTGCATTGTGGAAACAAACCCTACAATGCAGGAGGGAGCCAAGACAGGAAGGAACTGACAACCCCTGTGGGCCTTGCCCATTGGGAACCAGAAAGGGTAAGGAGGAGGGGCTTCATGTGGCCTGCCCAAGGCTCCCTGGGAAGGGGCCTACTCTAAGACAACTCTCCCCAACCCTAGGCTGTGCCCAGGCCTCCTTCTCTCCCTGTGGGAGCCTCCAGAGCCCTGGAGTGCCACCGCTTGGCACCCCCCAGAGCCCAACCCCCACCCCCGTGCCATTTCCAGTCCTATGGGCAGGGAGGGGGGTCAATGTCGTTCAAGTAATTTCTCTGTGAACACAAGATGGCAGCCTTAAATAAATGCAACCCTGCGCAGCTTTTAATCTTACACATCATTAAATTCCTAATTTACACATTATGTTTTCGTGGGCCAACCCATAACTCATTAGTGTTGAACTCACGAGGTATAAAGACCAATGCACACCGTGCGCCCTGGCGCCGTCACCTGCCTGGGTTAACAGTGTCTGCCGAGGGAGCAAGAAGGAAGCAGGAGGGGAGTGCAGGGTGCCAGCTGGGCCAAGGGCAGAGGGCCGAGCGCAGGAGAGTGCCAAGTGCCAGGCCCTCAGTCGCACACCGCACTCGCAGCGCTACTGCCGGGGCAAGAGCAGAGGCCAGCTCTCCCCTGCGCTCCTGGGGCCCGCGGGCGCAGGCACACACAGCCCGCACACTCACACACCCGGGTGGCCGCGCGGGGCTCCGAGGCGCGCAGGCCTCCTTGGCAGACATCTTCCTGTGGGAGGATTTCAAACGAGCCGTGAAAGCCAGAAACTACACGGGTTACAAACTCCGGAATCCCCGGCCAGTCCCGGCCCCTTCCCCACCTCCAGCTTGGCCCCCTCCGCTCAGCCCGGGGCCAGGAACCTACCAAAAGGCAAAGCGCACAAGCCGAGGGCGTTGGAAGATGAGGGGGCGCACGGACGGCCCCCAAGGTCCCGTCTGCCTCCGGACCCCGGGACTTGCGGCCCAGGGCCGCGCAGGGCAGTTACGATGGCCCAGGGCGACCGGAGATGGGTAGGCTTTGGGACTTGCCCAGGCCGGGGGTGGAGCAGAGGGTCCCAAAGCTCTCCGGACACCGCAGGCTGGCCGCCGCGTCCCCACAACGCTACTCTCTCAGGAAGGGAACGGCGGAGTCACAGCTGGGGCGCAGCTGACAGCCCCGGGCCCTGGCCAAGGCGCTCCCTAAAGGAGAGGGAGGCGGCGGCTGGAACGGGCCTGGGAGGGGGGCGGGTAAAGGAGGTGGTCAGCGCGCGGGAGGAAGGTCCCAGGCGGGAGCGGCAAGGACAGCTGTCCAGGTGGCGAGGGCCAGCCCCGGCCTCGCCTCGCGCTGCGCCCGCCAGGCCCTCGAAGTGCCCCGCGCCTTCGCAGCCTACAGCAGCTCCGAGCCGCGGGTGGAGTGGGAGGGAGGAGGCTGGGCGAGCGCCCCGCCCTCACCGCCCGCGGTCACAGGGGCAATTACACTCCTCGCTGCAGACGGTTACCAGCTCGCCCGCGCATCCGTCTCCCGGCTCCCCTCCCTCCTACGCGGAACTGCTAGCTCCATCTTAGCGAGGGCGCAGGGAAGCGCGGCCGAGGCCAGCTGCCTCTGGGGACCTCCCGAGGCTCCGCGCACGCTGCGCGCCGCCCTCAGATGGCCAAGACCCGCCCCCCGCAGTGCGTCCCCGAGATCTAGAGCCTGGGCAGGGACTTTCGCAGTCGCGAAAGGCCAACGGGACCCTTCTCCACACGCTGCACGACCGGGACAGCCGCGCTTTGCCCTGCAATCCTGCCCTCGGCCAACGCAACTACCCCCGCGGCCCCCAGGCCAGGAGCTCGCATTTTCCAGGTCTCCTCCCTTCCACCGTCCGGCTCATCTAGTCCCAACTCGACCCCTAGACCTCTCGCCCAAAACCTCCGATCCGAGGCTTTTCCCCTGCCAGGCCGCCCTCGGCACAAGTAAACAGTCCCCCTCCCTCCCCCTAGGTTTATGCTATTCCGGAAAGTGTCTTTGAAGCTGTGAATGAAAACCCAGGCTGTGGATTAAGGGCTTCATTTTCAACTAGCTTCGTGATTTGAGGCGAGGTTCTTAACCTGTTTATCTGCAGAATGAGAGAGATGATGCACGCGTAAGTGTGGCTGCACGATTTGAGAAGATGCATGCACGAATACGTGAAATGCTTGGCACAATGTCCTGGTGGTTAGCGTTATTCTTACCACATGGCCAGACCTGTGGCTACACAACAAGTGAGATGGCTGGTTTCCCACCAGAGGTACCCCATGCAGTTCTGGTACACACCTCACAAGACCACAGGCGCTCAAGCCACTGGCTAGGCCTGGAGGGAGGACAGAGGAGGCGAGGGGCAATCAACCCGGCGAATCCTTCAGCCTTCCGCGTTTGCAAATGAATAGGGCTCTGTCTGCGGCTTCCGCCATTCCAACGCCTGGTCTGCAACGCCTAAGGCTTAAACCTGGCGCTGCGGTAAATTTAGCCCGAAGGCAGTGCCTCCTGAGGGGCAGGGATGTCTCCTTGGAGGAAGGAAAGGGAACAGGGTTTTTTAAAGAAGAGAGAGAGTTGCCTCTAGGAAGAGACATGGGGAGAGGAAACATTCAGGCTGCTCGCGGACTACTGACAAAAAGAAATCGGACGCAAAAGAAGCCTCCCCAGAAATTGGGCCACCGTGGGAGCTGTGCAAGACAGACTTCCCATCTGGGAAGGGCTGCCAACGGGTAATTGGGTTTGCTCGAGTTGCCTCTATAATTAATAAGTGATTTGACTTGGAGATTGGAAATAGTCATTGAAAGGAAGCCGCGGGCGTAGGGGTGTGAGGCCCGGGAGCCTCCCTCCCAAATCCAACGACAGTGGAGGAGGACGGTGTCAGGAACACGACCAATGTGATAATATTGGCATCTAACCTTCTCGTGTTTGAGTAATTCGTTGCTTAGCTACTTTGGATAGGCCATTATTTTGCAAACTGGAAACATTTGCAAGTGGTGATATTTTGTTCCTGCCTGACGCAGGGGCTGCAAACCTACCCCGGCTCTGCTGAACTCTTCGAAATATATATGCATAAATTGTTCCTAATGAGACCATCTGTTTTTTATGGCCCCTCTGGAAGCAGGAGGAACCCGAAGACTGCTCCGTCTTGCAGAAATCTGTGGCCAGGCAGGCCTGGGAAATAAATAGGGGAGATTAGAACAGCGTGCGTGATTTAACAACACGCAGACAGCGGGTTCAGTGTTGGAGATGTGTGCTTGGCTTCCCAGGGGTGCGGGTTACTTAGGGTGACTCTGAAAGTGGGCATTCCAGTCAGTGGGCCTCCTAAGAGGCCTAGGGGCTGTTTGGGGTTTCACTGCATAGGCAAACCTTGTTTCTCCGTGTCTGGAACATTGCCAGAGCTTCAACTCCACCAGCTTGCCCGTATTCGGGGACCCAGGACGCGAATCCAGCTATGGGTAGCAGCTCCTAACCTTGCCCCCTAGCCAGGACCTCTCTGCTAAGCAGGAGAAAGACACCCTCCCCCACAAAAACGTACAGCCAGGGAGGTAAAGGGAACCAGCCTGAGCCTCAGATGCTGAGATCGGGCCTCACTCCACTCCACTCCGGGGTTAGAGCCCAGCGCTCACCCCAACCTGTCCCCAAAGCCGAGCTTTGGGCTCCGGGCCCGTCTGGCAGGCCCACGGCCCGGCCTGAGTCCGCCCCGAGGGTGGCAGGGCAAACACTTTTCACATTACCGGTGGCTGTTAATTGGGGCAGTGCAAAAGACGGCGCGCCTACGCCTTTTCCGCGGGAGGGGGGTCAGGACTGGGCAGTGGGGGCTGCTTAATAATAGAGGGGCCGCCCTGGGGAGCCTCAGATATCGGTAACCCCCATGATTAATTCATAACTCTCCACTGCGCTTGGCACCGTCTCGGGTCTTTAATCGGTTCTGAATGTCAGCGAGGCTTCCCCGACAGCCTGAGCGCTGCCTTTTGAATGTGTTGAAAGTCGCTGCGCGCACACCAGGAGACAAAGTTGCCATCTGCTCCGGGGACCACGGCAACTGGGCGCTGGGAGGGGCCTTTCTCCTGCGGCTCCGGAGGCCCCGGGCGGCCTCCTCCTCCCGGCCTGCCCCTAAGCAAGCGTTGTCCCCCGCCACACCTCCGCCCCACCCACCCCCGGCCCGGGGGCATGCTTAGTAGAAACTCCAGCTTGCTGCGAAATAGAGCGCTGCGTCCGGGCGTGTAGGGCCTCGGTCACCCAGACCGAGGCCTATGCTAATGAGATTATGAACGGGATTGTTTGTGTGCGCGGCCGTGGGAGGGGGGCAGATACAGTGCAGGCGAGGATGACTTAGAGGGGGAAGGGAGTAGCCCCGAGAGAACAAAGCTCCCGGCCGTCGGCCTCCAAAGAGTGGCAGAAGTGACCGCCACTGGCTTGTGCACACGAGGAAGCAGAAATAGCGGGTTGGGGGTGGCACAGTCCTCTTAGAGAACCCAGAAGGAGCAAGCGGGCGGGGAAAGATTCAACCCATAGCTAAACGTCTGGCCTTCTGGCTATTTTGTGCGGCTCTGGATTTAAGGAAGGTGACGTGTAGCGGGCGCATCGAGAGGTACACAGGCTCTATTTGCCTCTCTGTAAAAAGCCTTGTCCGCCCTCTTGCCCTCTCCACTCCAATCTGCAGAGAGGGTGCGTGGACGGATCTCTCCGCCCTGGTCAGGCAGGGAGGACCGAGCCTCAGGGGGCAGTGGGGAGGGCTCCGAGCTGCGGGCCCGCGCGAACGCACTCCGGGCTCCGTGCGTCGCCTCTAGCGGCAACATCTCGCCTGCAGACTGTAATTTTGCACTCCCGCGAGCGCTGGGACTGCAGAATCGTTTGAGAGAGTTGGAACTGCATCAGATGAGCACGCCAGGAGGTGAGATCCGATAGGAAATAGCCGAAACTTTGAGTTGTGCGCCGCCCCACCCTCCCCTCACGCAATTTACCCTCCCCCTTCCCAGCCGCCACCTCCCCCACCCTCTTGAGTCTTCAAGGTTTGCAGCCAGTCCTGTCATATGGTTTTATTTCTGTGCTGCTTTTTTTTTTTTTTTTTTTTTTTTCAAACACTAGAATTGGACACGTGGAGAATTAGCCGGCTGGAGAAGCGCTGGATGCAGGCTCAAACAATGGTTTCCAGCACGAAGCTGAGGCGGCACCTTCCCACCCCAGCTCCAAAGCACACCACCCTCTGCATACAGCGGGTACACTCCTCTACTGCCCCCCTCCCCTGGGCTGAGAAGGGGCCAGCATGGGGTGCACTGGGCTGCGCTTTTGGGAGCCCTTTGCTACTGCACAAATGCCAGGTGGCCCAGGATGCCGGCTCTGAGAAGGTCATTTTGGCTGGGGTCTTTTGGGACTTAGAAGAGCTTGCTATTTTTCCCTGGAAGGTCCTGTCTCAAAAACACCACCCCAAATATTAATGTTTAAAAACCCAACCAGGCAGCGGACCCTCTATCTTTGAGCAATTCTGCCCTTCCTAGGTTAGACTTGCTGGAGCTGCAGCGAGGTCCCCTCCTCATCTGATGAGCCATCTCCAAGAACAGCTCCTCTTGAGAGTAACTTCCTTTAGCAATTGTTCTCTTACACTGTAGATCCAACCTCGGCCCCACCCCACCTCTCTTACCCCCCCCCCCACTGCTTAGCACTGGCAGCAGCCCCAGCTCCCCCCAGCTGCGAAGTTTCCCTTGCTCTGAACGGCCTGTGCATCTCACTGGGTCACATGTACCATGAGGAAGCTCCCTCGCCTCCCACTTCCCGGAGCTGGTTTCCTTTTACAGGCTCCTTTCGTGCTGCTAGGGCTGTGGCAATGTCTGCGGCTCCCTGTGCAGCTCTGGGTCTCCCTGTAGAGCTGTGGGCTGCGAATCTGCCTTCTCTTCCCTTCCTGAAAAGGTCAAGCTGCCGCCTTCACTTGCATGGCCACAGTTCAGTTCCGTCGTAAGCTACAGCCTGAAAATGGGAATGGGCTAGGCGTGCGTGCAAGGGAGAGAGGTCATACCCAAGCAAAGGGCAGCGACCAAGAGGATTCAGGAAAGGAAACACTGCCAACCCCCAGAGAGCAGTTCAGTATTTGCTCAAGGAGAGAAACCCAGGAAATTCTGCTGGATCTGGGCTCCTGAATCATGGGCCTTTCTCCTCCAGGGGCTAACCCTAGAGGCAGGCCGGGAGAGGGCCAGATAAGCGGGGTGTCTCCTGCAGTTCACTCCAAGCAGGAGTCAGAAGCAAGCTAACAGCTAAGGCTTGTAATTCAGCAGTCCCTGGCTATCCAGTCAGTTGCCACCCTTCCGAGAGGGACCCTCGGAGAGGCCTTTCTGCCACCCCAACCCTAGAGACCGCTGGGCTCTGCAAGCAGCACGGAGAACGATCTGGAGGAAAATGAGAGGAAACGCCATTAAACTTGCTTCCTCTAAAAGAGCTCTAACCTGCCCCCCCCATCTTCTCTGAACTGTACCTAAAAAGTCAGGAGAGAACTCGTTAACTTCTGTTTGGTTTAACATGGCCAGCTTCAAGTTAACCGTAGGCCCCCCGAAGGTTTTGTAAAATATTTAATCTAGCTCAGGCAATTTCCTGCAGTCCCTAACAGGACCACCCCACTTACTGAGCCGTTGCCAAAGTCCTGCAGCCGCCTGGCTGCCCTGTGAGCAACACTGCAGCAGTCACAGCAAACCCCTTCACAGAATCCAGAGATCAAGACCCAGGGAGCCCTGGAGGCCCAAACCCACGGGGGAGAAGCCGAGGAAGTGAAATTCAACAGGCTTTTCACACCAAACTAACGGTTGTCCCCGTACCCTCTGCAAACCTCATCCTCTCTTAACTCTGTAAAACGGTTACCAAGATGTCTCATCTTCCTTAAGCGTTTGGAAGAGTGGGCGCTCTGAGCGTCCCTGTGTCCCCCAGCGCCCTCCTCTTCCTTCCACCGTTTCTACGACCTAATCTTCCTAGAGAACTCGGCAAGCAGGAATGGGATCTCTCGACTCCGCCGAGCCCCGACCCCTTCCAAACGTGAGGCTCACGGGAGAACTGCTCTGCCCAGTTTCCATTCCCGCCTCCAGAAGAACGAGCCGAAAACATGTGTACTGTAAATAAAGCCTGTCTAAATAAAGCAGTCGGGGAAAGGCTGCCGAGAAAACACTCCCCGCATCGCTCTGTGCTCAGAGCGTGAGTCAGCTTCCCAGCCCCCGGGGAACAATGGGAACCTTGCCAAAGGGCCCCTTCTGTCCACCTCTTACGGCGCCCCGAAGGCCGTTTAGGTGGCTGGGTGCAGGCACCCTGGACCTTCGGCCTCGAGGTTCGGAGGGGGAGGGGCGCTCTCAAAGACCAAGGCTGGGGTCCAGGCCCAGGATTAGCGCCGCCCAGAATCCCTCGGCCCGCAGCTGCCCCGAGGGGTGGAGGGTTAAACAAACAGCAGGCGAGGAGCGGGGCCGCAGCCGGAGAAGCGAGAGATCGGGCACACGCGCTCGAGCCTCCCCGCTCTCGCCCACCCGATCGGCTGCCTCTCCTCCGCGGCCTCCCGAGTCTCAGCGGAAGTGAACGTAGCAGCTGCCATGGTCGCCCCACTCCTTTTACTGTTCCCATAGACCCGCACACGTATATAGCCCCTCACCCCAACGCACACGTGTGCTGGCGACTCGCGGAGATCGGGCCTCCACTGCTCGCAGTGTGGGTACCGAAGCCGAGCGAAACGACGCCCCTGTGGTGGAAGGACAGGGCTGGGCATCGTGGTGGCCTGCTAGCTATCGCGGCCTCTCGGGCAACGGGCTTCCTCGGGCAACGGCACGCTGGCACACTCGCGGGGATGGGGCTGTGGGGAGACGTGAGCCTGAGCGCTGACTGGCGCGGTGGCCTCTGCTCTGGTGTGGGCCGGCGGTTTCCCCGCGCCCCGTGACCTTGAGGGTCAGGGATCCACCCCGCAGGCCCGCGGTTTCCGGAGCCGCGGCCAGCCCTTCCTCCCAGACTCTCCGGCCAAGGCCGCCCCCGGCCGCCCAGCCTTGCGCCCGGCAGGCTGGCTCCCTGCCCGGGGAAGGGGCTCAGGGGGCGAGAGCACCGAGGGTCCCCCACACCCTGCACACACGCTGCCCGCCAGGGCCGGGACCGGCGCTCCAGCAGCCTGAAATTGCCAAATAGTCGCTGGGCAGGGTTGGGGGTGAGGCTTTGGGAACCGAGCTGGAGCTGAAGACGGGGAAAACAAGTGAAACGGGAGGGGTGGGGTGCGGTGACGGCTCATAAATCACCCGGCCCCACCCTCGGGCCTCAGAGGAGAGGCGCCCTAGCCTCGCGGGAGAGAGGAGGGTCACTCGGCCACTCCTGGCCGACCTCTGAGCTCTCCCGGAGCCAGCGCCCCACCCTGGGCTCAGGCCGCGCTCGGACAGGCTCCCGGTCCAGGTCGTAAACCGCCGCCGGATTCGGCGGGAAGCCGCCCTTGGACGCTGAGCGCATCCGCCCAAGGGGAAGTTTATTTATAGCTTGTAAACGTAAAGGAAACCAGACCGCGCTAGCTCGCCGAGCCCGAGCTCCCCACCTGCCCACCAGGAGGGCGCAGCAGGGACGGGGGAGGGCGGGGAGACTTGGTTCTGCTAACCCCTCGGCTCCGCACCCAGGGGAGAACCGGCCCCAAAAGGCTGGCAAGTCTTCAGACCCTTTCGGTGTCTATGAAGTGCCAGCAACACCGGAGAGGGCGGAGGCCAGGGCCTGGGCACTGGCGTGGTTAGGGTGGGGGCGGCAGAGTTGGCCCACTTGGCACGCACGGCCGGGCAAGCCAGGAAGCGCGGCGCGGGACTCCGCAGCTCCCGCTCTGGGCCGGGGGGAGTCCTGGAGTGGCAGGGAGCGGGGAGGGGGCGCTCGAGCCTCTCCTGGGGAAGAGGGAGGCTTCCTGTTCCTCCCGCGCACGTGTCCTCCGCCGAGCAGGCGAGCGCCGCGCGCCTGGGGCTGCGATCCGCGGGCGACAGCAGCTCAGAGCGCGCCCGTTCCACTCCCACCCCCGCCGACGCAGCCTCTCCTGGGGACCTCCAGGCTCCAGGGAGCGCTTGGAGCAGGCCTGAGGAGCCGGAGAAACGGGAAAGTGCCGGGGAGGAGATTAGGAAGAGAAGACATTTAAAAGCCCAGCCCGGAATAGACAAGCAGCCGAAAAAGACGCCGGCGAGTCCCCCCCAAGCCCGGGCCTGGGCGGCCCCTCCCAGACCCAGCGGAGTGCACCCACCCCCTGCCTTGGCCGGGGCGAATTCCTCTGTGTGTTTGTGTGTGTGCGCGCGCGCGCGCGCGCGCCCGACCGCCGGGAGGGCAGTTGCGAAACGGGCTCTTGGCTGCAGCGCGGCATAATGGAGGTGGCTGGAACAATGCGCGCTTTGTGCGCGCGGGGAGTTGTTTTCCACCCTCCTCGCCCCCCTCGCTCGGGCCGTATGGCACTTTAATCCCCGCCACGGCTCGGCACAAACGCACTTGTGTCCTGCGGGTCACCGGGGGCGGTGCGGCTGGAGCGGCCCCCACGCCTCCCCCGCGGACCCCACCGCCGGCTGCCCCATCTTCCTTCCTGCGCACCCACCACCACCACCACCACCACCACCACCACCACCACCACCACCTCAGTTCCCGGCGTGGGCCGGCGAGCTGGCTTGGAAGCTTCCGGGCCCGCCGGCCACTTATTTTCCGTGAAGACGGCCCCTCCCCCCTTCGCGAGCGCGCGCGCGCCCCAGGGCCGACTGCAGCCCCCCCCCTCAGCCCGCCCGCCCCCGCCCCGCGCTCCGGACTCCTGTGAACAATAGTAAATGTCAACAGATTCCGCGCGGCGAGTGTCTGACTCGGCCGAGATAAGGGTGCGCGGTTGGCCCTGCGCTCCGCGACGCCGTGGGGGGAGCCCACTCTGACCCCAGCTGGAAAGAACCGGCTGCGACGAAACCCGTGCCGGGGGTGGGAAGCTGGAGGGCAGGAACGGAGGGCACCGGTCCCAACCCCGCGGGGAGCCTCGCCGGGACACCAGGCCTCGCCCTGCCCCCACCCCACTCAACCCGCTGCTAATGGGGGGCCGAGATCTGCCCGGTGAAAGCGGCAGGGCAGACGTGGCACTTGGGCCTGCTTTCAGCCCACGTCTCCGAGCCCCAGCGGACGCCTGCAAAACGCTGATCCCGGTGAAAACTCTAGCAGTTTTCGACCTACTGGGAGCGGCACCTGAAAGGCGCAAAGGATTCCAGTCCTTGTCTCCGGAAACTCATTAAAATATTTTTTAAGCGCGCACACACTGGCAAATCGTCGTCCTCTGTCACCCGCAACCCACCACCCAACCGAGTTAAAATTCGCAAATTGATTCCCACGCGTTGGTATTAATGGGTTGTTCCTCTTAAGTTGTTGCCAACTTTGCTAATGGATTATTATTTAAATGATTTCTTTTTTATAAAGTACGTGTTGTTTTATAGATGCGTATTTACTTAAAGAAATCAACTGCATCTATTAACATATTAAAGAGAGAATAAAGCATCGAGGCCGGTGTAATGTACTGTTCAGCCTTACTTTGGGTGCTGCGAAGATAGGAAAATCTTATTTGTTTAATAATAAGTCGCTCATGAATATGCAAATGACATCGATGCAGTACCTCACTTCTGTCGCTATTAATGAGTTGCAAATTAATGTGACAACAAAAGGAAAATCTATTTAGTGGAGGAACTCGGGTTCCTACCTGGGGAGATCACAAGCAGATCTGGAACTTGGGTCTCGGGGAAGGAGAGGACTGGGGACCGACACCTCCTCACCCAGCCTTTCCTTCGAGCCACCACTATTGTTTAGACTCAGGGACCTGCTTTGTCAGGAGCCCCTTAAAATTCCTGCTCCAGACCGGAGGAAGAAAGGCTGCTCCAGGGTAATTAGGGGCAAGTGTGATTAATGGAAATCAGCCCACAGTTTGAAGTAAAGCAATTGGTGAAGCAGATTTGGGCGGGGGCTCCTCCTTCGCCCCAGTTGAAAGATTCCCCCAAAGCTTTTTGGCCTCCTGCGTTCGGCAGGGTTTAGGGCTGTAAGGAGAAAGTTAGGTCTCACAGGTCTGATCAGGGTATTAAGACAGCACCTTGTGCCCTTATATTTTACGAGGCGACTTTGCCGATGGGAGATTTAAGAGCAGATTGGCACATTTTCCTGGCTAGCTACTTCCCAGAGGCTACACTGAAGTCTGGTTGTCTTCCATTGGAGATTTTCACTCTTTCCTGGCCTACACTTCAGAGCCTGTTTTTATTTCAATGATGGATACTAAAGAGTGTTTGTAATTCACTTAAGCTTGGAAACACAACAGCCAAAAAATTACTGTTGAGCTGCCCAGAGCCATGGACTCATACTTTAGGTGCCTGGCTAGTCGGAAAAGCTTCACTAGAGAACCTTTGGGAGATGCAGATCTCTGTCTAACCTAGTAGACAGTTACCTGTGTCTGAATCCATCAAGCTGAACGGTAGGATGTGTGTTCTCCACTATGCCTAAGTCATACCTTGTTTTGGTTACCTGTTACTATGTAAAGCCACCCCCAAAGCTTAATGGTGTAAAGCAACAATGACTTATTTTGCTGAAGAATCTGCAGTCTGGCCAGGACTACGCAGGGACAACTCACCTCTGTGCCATACCGTGACAGCTGGGGTAACTTGATTGGGACACCACTTTCAATATGGCTCACCCACAGGGCTGGCAAGCTGGTGCTGGCTGTGGTTCTCCTCCATGTGGGCCTCTCCACAGGGTGGCTTGGGCTTCCTCACAGCATGGTGGCTGGGTGCCAAGAGCGAGCATCCCGCGAGAGAAGACAGATGCTGCCAGTTACTTAAGAACTAGGCCTGGAAGCATGTAGGACGTGGGGCCTCCTCTTCACGGTTTAAAGATTCCCCAGAGCCTTTTCAGCCTCTTGCCTCGGACAGGATATAAGGCTATAAACACCAAGCTAGGCCCCATATATGAAGACAGCACCCTGTACACTTTATGGGGGTGTCACATTTGCCATCATCTATTATGCAAGCAATTACAGGGCCCAGACCCAAGGAGGAGAGGACATAGACTCTTCCTGCCCGTTCCTCAGTGAAAAGTGCGTCAGAAAATTAGGAGGCTACTGTTTGAAAAACTGCAACATGTATATCTTAGTCACTTTCCCATCACTGGGACAAAATACCTAACACTCACAATTCAAAGAAGGAAAGAACTATTTGGTTCAGTTTCCAGGGGGTTTGGTCCATAGTAGGCCAGCTCTGAGGCAGGAATGGCGTGGTGGAAGGACCTGGCAGTGGACAGCTGCTTAAACTACAGCAGCCAGGAAGCAGAGAGAGAAGAATGGAGCCAGAGACAAGAATACACCCTTCCAGGTCACAACCCCAGGGACCTGCCTCCTCTGACCAGGTCCTACCTCCAAAGCAATTCAGCTATGAATTCATCCATAGATGAATCCACTGAGGAGCGAGGATCCCTGATGATCCAGTCACCCTTCCCAAAGGGGGACATTTTAAATGTAAACCAGTGCAATATGTGATTTCAGAAGAAAATGAAATATATGACTTCATTTCTTGCTTCATGCCCTGCCCCCACCTCTAAAAATTTTATGTATTTAGCCACACTGGGGCTTAAACCCAGGGCCTATCCACTGAGCTATATCTTGCTAAGTCACCCAGAGATGGAGCTTGAATTTGAGCTCCCCCTGCCTCAGCCTCCCAGAGTGCTGGGTTTATAAGCCTGTATCATCATGTCCAGTCCACAATTTCTCTTTCTTTCTTTCTTTCTTTCTTTCTTTCTTTCTTTCTTTCTTTCTTTCTTTCTTTCTTTCTTTTAGATTGCAGTGGTGGGGATGGAACTCAGGCCTTCACAGGGGATCTCCTATGCTAGACAAGCTCTCTATCACCATGCTACAATTCGGATCCCCACCCAATCCATCTCACCTCTCCTTGCTCCTGGCTCTCAGTGGCAGTTAGTTGCTATCCCAAAAAGTCTGTGTGAGTGATTATACATAAAAAAGACCACCAGCAGCTGGGTTTAGTGGTATACCCCTGTAATCCCAGCACTTGGGAGGCTGAAGCAGGAAAATCACCTGCTACATAGTGAGTTCAAGGTCAGCTTGAAATGCATAGTGAAACCCTGTCTAAAAAAAAAAAAAAAAAAAAAACCAGTTGCCTTTTGTTTTTGTTTTTGGTAGATGAGGGCTTTCTAGATTGCCCAGAATAGTCTCCAGCTCATGGGCTCAAGCAACCCTCCTGCTTTAGCCTCCCACGTAGCTGGGACTCCTGGCACACACCACTGCACCCAGCTTGGGTTTTAGATTACTATTAACTTATTAAAGTTCCAGATTTTAAAATAAAATCTAAACTTTCACAAGTCTCTCTTTTTCTAATGCTGGGGATGGAACTCCCTTGCCTACGCTAGGTAGGCAAAACACTCTATCGCTGAGCCGCATCTCAACCTGAGACTTTCACTGTCCTAAACTTCAGTTTATTAACCTTCTTATTTTTATCTAAAAGTAAAGTAATCATTGGGGGGAGGAGTGATGAAGTGATGGCTCAATCAAACAGACTGAATACTCTTTTTTTTTTTTTTTTTTTTCTGAGACAGGGTCTCGCTATGTAGTTCAGGCTAGGCTTGAACTCACTATGTAGCCCAGGTTGGCCTCCAACTCACACTGATCCTCCTGCCTCAGCCTTCTGAGTGCTGGGATTACAGGCATGCACCACCATGCCTGCCCAGACTAAATACTCTTGAATCAAACCAACATTTACAAATTTATCTCAATTTTCCTAAACACAGTTAGAATGTAACAAACACATGTATCAACTTTGTTCTGTTTTCTTTTTTAAGTATTCAAATGCCTGAATGGAAAAAACTTAGGGCTGTCATGAGCAAAATCTTCCTAAGGACTTAAACCATGAGTGTCCAATTTTTTGGCTTGCCTAGGGCACACTGAGTGAACTGCAACTGTCTTAGATCGCGAATAAAATATACATCATAGCTAATGTATATAAGTAACAAAACCTCATTTTTAAAATATTTTCACTTGTTAAATCATTTTATGAAAGGCTGGGTGTGGTGGCACACACCTATAATCCCAGCACTCGGGAGGCTGAGGCAGGAGGATCGTCATGAGTTCAAAGCCAGCTTGAGTTACATAGCAAGAGCCTGTCTAAAAAACAAACAAATAACAACAAAAACTATTATCAGTAATTGCTGCACTTTATTTGCCAAGTCGCACAAATGGCATACTGTCTGGTACACATGGACTTCGTTTCAGTTGTGTTTGGAGGGCAGAGGAGATGGGGTTGGAGTTGGTCCTGCAAGGAGCCTGCCCCACATGGCATTTTGTTGTCACTTTGCAGTCCACTCCCTAGCACCACACACTTGTGGCATGAAATGTATCACTAAACATCACACAGTAATGTTTAAAATGTATGATCTCGTGGGTCTTCATTACTAGCTATTCCGGCTTATGGGGCGGACACACCTAACTCAAACATTTCTAAGTCAAATGTATTAAATTTGTAAGTATACTGAATATACAGTTGTTTTAAGCACTGCAACTCCACTGAGTCAAATTTTATTTTTATTTTGCATTTTATCTCATTTTATTTCTTTCTTTTTCCTGAGGCTTGGGAACGGAACCCAGATCTGGTTCGGGGCAGCCAAGTGTTCTACCACCGCGCCACACCCCAGCCCCTGCTTCCGGTCAAATTTTAATATCCTTTACCTTAAAATTGCAGATCTGAAGTCTGTTCCACAATTTTAAATTGGAAACCTAGGTGTAGTCTATCAAATTCTGTAATACTCTCAAATTTTCATATACGTTAGAAATTAAAACACAGAGTTCCTGAATTTGACACCAAAATATGACTACAGTGTTTGATTCATTTCGTATCCTCCATATTCTTTCATATGCTTTGTGTTCTCCATACTCCGGGCCTCACGTCTTCTCCACCTTCGCCAAGTTCAAAGGACATCCTCTGAAGAGTATGTTTTGCCATGTCAAGGGAGTTGAGGTTATTGATGAAAGGAGAAATGTAAGACTTTAAAATAAGCGAAGAGAAGCACAGCTATTTTTTTTTTTTTTTTTTTTTGGTTTTTCTCCGGTACCGGGAACCGAACTCACGACCTTGCGCTTGCCAGGCAGGCGCTTTTGCCGCTGAGCTAAATCCCCAGCCCCTAGCACAGCTATTTTTTCAATGGAGCGCTGTGGCTGGGCAATTGACTGAATCTACAGACCTACAAGCCTCTGCCTGGGCTATTTTATAACACCGTAAGCACACAAAACCCGTAGCAATGGGAATACTTCTTGCTCTTAGGCACTCAAAGAACACGTATCTAAGAGATAGGCAATCCCCATCCCCACCCCGAGGCCAGTTTTGCATCCATTTGCAAATTCATTTCAATATTCCTGATCTATAACTATGTCTGTTCCTAGGATTCTCCTCTGAAATGGTTGCAAAATCTTATCCATTTCCTCAACATTCAGTGCATGAATCCCATGGTTGCTGATTTTTTGCAGAGTGTTGGGGTGGAACTCAGGGTCTCGTGTATACCAGGCAAGCGCTGCACCATGAGCTCTCTTATTTTATATTTGTACGAGAATCCTGATTGTGCCTTCTTTTGAAAATTTGCCTTTAATATCTGTCCACAGTTAATCATTCTGTACAGATATACGTATAATATCTGTGGCCAGCTGCAATTGGAAAACAGGATGCAGGAGACGGGATCTACAAGTCTCCGGGGAGAATTTGCTTACACTCTAGCAGACCAAGAGAGCCTTTTTATCCTATGTATCCTTTTTTTTTTAAGGGGTGCTGGAGATGGAGCCCAGGGCCTCTGGAATATTGAGCACTGCTCCACCACTGAGCTACACTCCCTCCCCATCGCATTCTATTTACAATTGCTATGGCAACTGAAGATCCAAGGCTGTACCCTTCAGGTGGCATTTTTTTTTCTCAACTTCAAGTTCCCAGTTTAACGTAAATCCTTACCTGATTCATTGGGACCTCTGCTCTCAGCCGTGCCATCGGATGGGAGGAAGGGAAATATTTACCACCCGTGTTGCTGCAACACTTGATTGGGCTCAATTAACCTATTTACTACCTGTGGTGGTTTTAAAATATGTCCACAAATTCTTTGCTACTCCTCCCTTCAAAAGGTGGAGCCTGACTTTCCTCCCCTGGGTTGTGGGCTGGACTGAGTGACTCACTTCTAATGAATACAGCTCTACCAGTGACTGGATGTGACATCCAGCACGGGGCTATAAAAGACATTGTGGCTTCCTCTTTGCTATCTAGGGGAAGCCAGCTGCCAAGTCATGGGGACACTGAGAGCCCCAGGGAGTAAGCCATGTGTGGAGGAGCCGGGGCCTCCTGACAACAGCCGTGCCGTGGAGTGCGGGTCGCACCCCAGTCTGGTCCTCAGAGGACTGCAGCCCCTGCCAACACCTGAGCTGTGACCCCAGGAGGGATCCTGGGCCAGAACCACCCAGCTAAGCTCCTCCTGAATCTAAGACCCACAGCGGCACAGTAAATAAATAGTACACAAGTCAATCTTTTTTTTTTGTATCAGGAATCGAACTCATGACCTTGAGCTTGCCAGGCAGGCACTGTGCCACTGAGCTATATCCCTGGCCCACA